GAAATGTTCTTCGCATCCAGAAATGTTCTAAGAACGAACCAACGTTCTTAGAACATAAGCCCGACGTGATAAAATAAGACAGTCCCAGCCAGAGCTGCTCTAAGAACACTTCGTGCAGACCACGAAAGGTTCTTAGAACATTCTTTGGTAGGCCTATATCCTACCTAAATCCTAGAGGCGAGCCAGGACGCTTCGCAACTGCTTATGCAACACTGGACTCCTCCTCAGCGGGGCGCCGGCTATGCCGTGGCCTCGTGACGGGCCCACGATCGGTGCATAAGCCCTCCTGGCCTGGCAGGACGGCAGGCACATCGATCCTGGGCCCAGGGTCGGCCTGGCCAGGACCAGAGCGCGGCGAAGTCGTCGTCGTCGTCGTCGTCGCCGCCGTCGTCAACGTCGTCGTCGTCGTCGTCGTCGTCGCCGTCGCCTTCGCCGTCGTCGTCGTCGCCGTCGCCGTCGTCGTCGTCGCCGTCGTCGCCGTCGCGTATGGTTGGTGCCATCCGGCTCCTCGCCATCATCACCATCCCAGGCCATCATCTCGCTGCCCTGACGGGTGTACTTGTTTCCCGAGTCCACCTGCAGGCAATTTGCTGCAGGCACGAAGGCGAGCCCGAGCCCGAGGGCAACGCTCTTCGTGAGCAGCGGCATGAAGGGGCAGTGTCAGTGTGGTTGAAGTGCACGAGTAGCGAAGCCAAGGGACAAGCAGAATGCACGCTGGAGGGCTTCTTGAGCCGAAGTGCTTGTAAAAAGGAGCTGGGGAGGCAGGAAGAGATGGGCGCATGTGGAGGGAGAGCGGAAGAGGGAACGAGTATGGGAGAGGGGAAAGGTAATGATGACTAAGATTTTGTAGGTCGCGGAATCGGCGAACGCTCGGATCGGTCAAGACAGTGCTGGACCGCAGCGAAGCGAATGCCTGCACCAAGGAGGATACAGAGAGGAGAAAAACGCGGCCGTGGAGGGGCTGTCGGGAAGGCTGCGCTATCAGAACATGGCACGGTGACCAGGAACACGGCGAGGGGGGGGAAATCGAGCCACAGAAGGCGAGGAACATGTCTAAGAGATCACGGTTGCTCTGAACATCACTGCGTGGGTGCATCCTCGCGTCCTGCGCTTCCACAGCAGGTGAAGGTGGGCCACGCTCTGCCGATGCGAGCTCGGCGCGGCGCATGCCCAGCCATCCTGTGCGATACCATGCCTTCAATCTGCGGCCTCAGAAGTCCCAACCGCTGCCCGGGGGGTGGCTGCCTGTCCCAGATCCATACTTGATTGTGTCAGGGCTCGACTAAAGGGCCCCACGGGCCGTGACCAGGAGAAATGCCAGCCATGAACAAAAACATGGCGTCGGAGATCTGGGTCGTTGTCCGACCGTCGACTGGCTGATATCGGTAAGCGCGGCAACCCTCGCAGACTACGGCCTCCTGCTGGCATCCTTGTCGGTGCAAGGACGCTCGATGCGCTGGCCCGCTCCTGTGCCAGGCGCTTCCCGCAGGGCATCTTGGCAAGAAGACAATAGGGCGCGGCCGCCTTGGCACAACTGAACGTCACCATCGACGACGCCAATGGCGTGTGCAGGCCATGGTGGCAAGGCAAACTAAGCCGGTTACTGACGGCTCGCTCACCCCTGCCTCAGATTGAGCAGAGATAAACCTGATCGTGGATGCTGGAGAACCACATCAAAAGCGTCCGAGCAAAAGGGACCTACATACTTGCCCCATGCCGCATCCGCCGCAACATCCATAAAACCATGGAACATCACTCTCATCGGCTTATCGACTCCATTATATGTGGCAAACTCCTCTGGAATTAGTTCCTCTATTCGCCACACTTCACCCCCAAATCGCCGTCCCAGTGCTCATCCCCGATTGGTGAGCCGGCCTGTGAAATTGCTAATTCTACGGATAAGTCCACATTCGCAGACAGCGAAATAAGTGGGCGGGTAAAGAAGAACTGCCCAACCACACCGCCAACAAACATCACCCCCAAAAGGACGTATGTCAAATCATGGCCGGCAGCCTCTTGACCACAATCATGTTGGACCGAAAACAAAACTGCTGTACCAACCAAGGTCGCATTGAGCATGAAACTTGTTAAATACGATGCTGTTTGAATTCCACGCCCTGTGATGCAATTACTTGCTGCTGCGGTGCTTCATCGGAAAAGCTATATTGTAGGCAGGGCGCGTGCTCGCACGGCGAGCGTCACCCAATGCTTTTTTTTTAAGACACCCAGGGCTAGCGGGCACTCTAGGGGTTCTTGGAGTCCTCGGGCCTCAAGCAAGCGGACGGCGAGACGACCACAAGCTCGTGGCCTCCGCCCCGAAACGGGGAAGAGGCCAACGGCAGCGAGAACAGGCACAAGCTGACTTGTACCATGACAGAAAGGCGAGCGTCACCCAATGCTTGGCAGTGGCTTTATCAGCACTCCGTACTTGATGCAGCTTCAGCAGGCACTTTGTCGAGGTGAATATGTGATTGCGTCATTCGCAGCAGGACTCCGAATGCAGTTGCGACTTGATGTGGCTGCTGGCTTGGCAGCAACAGCACCAAGCAACGTATCACAAACGCGCGGGCAACAAGCTGACCCCCCGTGCATCACCAATTCCAGACTCAGGCACCCAGAGAAGTACGGCACAATACAAACGAATGCAAGGCTGTAGCTTTACCGATCGTGGTTGTGCCCCTGCTCACGCTAGTCACACCACCCATCAACTCTACACGTCGATGACGGACACATCTCAACAAGAATCAGGGGCACGCCGCCGAAATCATCTATTCCGCCGGCGTGCAAGAAAAATGCTTGGACGATTTGTTTCACGTATAAGAGAATCCGCACGCTGCCTTGGCTGATGGATGCTTGCAACATCAGAAGACCCATACTACACAGGTTTCACGCTAGCTAGCACCTGCCTTGAGTTCTCGTGCGGACGCACCTGCTGAAAGCAAGCGTTGTCCCAAAATGCGGCTGCTGAAGCATAGCGCCCTGGGCGCTGGAGTCGACGTAACGGTCGCTTCTTGGCACTATCGTCCTTCTCGCCCACCTGCCGTAGAATGAACCTTGGCCCACGAAGGAGGAGGAGGAGGAGGAGGAAGCGGGGGAGGCTGGAGAGGACGAGGAGGAGGAAGAGGAGGAGGAAGAGGAGAAGGCGGCGGAGGAGGCACAACTGTTCGCCGATCGCCCCTGCTCGCGGCGTTGCTCACGCGAACGGACGTCGCGTACACAGCGCCGGTGGCCATCAGAGGAGCACGCGGGCCAGCCGCGCTATGCGGGTGTTGACACACATCGGACATAGACGGTGGCACGAATGGCAAACAGCTCTTCGTCGAGAGATCCGTTGCAGGGCGAAGTCTCAGCCGTCTTCGGAGCATCGCGGCGGACAACGCCTGTCCTCCTGGCGGGCGTGCTCCGAGACTGCCCGTGGAGCCCGAGCAGATCGGACGGCCCAGCGTACCACTACGACAACTCTGTCGGCATACCCACCCCGCGCGGGGCAACTGGCAATACCATTCTCGACGAGAGAGACGCCCAGAAGAATGGGGACAGATGAACATTCAAACTAACATCGCGTCGCAATCCGAGAGCGCGCTCGTGAAGTCGAAGGCCACACACGGAACGTGGGGACTGTGGCAACAATGATCACAACAACGACCGAGGGAATAATGCCACCGACCGGAGTGAGGCAGCACTGGAGAGAGCTAGAGGGCAACCTCTTGAAGGTCTTCGTAAGAATGGTAGAGGGCTGCGAAGTCAGATTCGCTCCACCAGGCAGGAACAGCCGGGATCAAGCCTGGACGTTACCTCGAGCAAGTGGCATGAATTGAGCTAAACTGGATGATGCCAAATTTTACCGGGTTTTCGACCACGGATACGTGACCAGGGACAGACAAAGCGGATGAGGAGGAAAGCAGGAGAGCCCTGAATCGAAACGCCAAGCCGGATCGGCGACCAACATTATTCGGACCCTCGGATATCGACGGCCAAGCCCGGAGAAGTCGAATCGGCGGAAAACGGCAAGCCTGTAAGGCCTCCACTGGGAAACCGGACTCCAAATCGCAATCCGAAATCGAATCGAATCGGCGGAGAGCGGCAGGCTAGTAAGGTGGCCGAAATGGGGGGGAAGAGAAGGGCCCCGAAGGGGCCCTTCAGGGCCAAGTTGTGGAGCCATGCCACGGCATGGTCTTCGGTCCTTCCCAATAGGCCCACACATTTGGAAAATGGCAACCCGAAACAACCATCGGAAGTGATTATACATTCGGTGACGATCCGATGATTTATTGGGTCGCAGAAGCCCCCCCCCGCTCCACTTTGGGGCGTCGCCACGCCATGCTATGTCAGACTACGCGTTGATCTTCAACACCGTGCTATACCATGTAATGCTATGCCATGCTACGACATCCGACTGTGCGAATAGAGGAGATTTACGCCATGGTAAGGGATGGGAGGGAAGGGTAGGACGTCAGCTATGACGCGAGCGCACCTAGCTTGTCCCTCCCCCCTCTCCCTGCTTCTCCTCCCCCTTCCACGCCTCCTCCCCTAATCCTCCCCCTTCCCCCTCCTCCTCCCTCCCTCCTCGTCCCCCTCCTCCTTCCCGAGCATGAGCCCCGAGTTGGGCTTCCCGCCCTGGGCCTGGCTGGCGTACGCCCACGAGATGCGCTCGTCGTCGGTCATGCTCGAGGGGGCCGCCCAGTAGATCGTGTCCCCGGGCCTCCTGCCAAGGCCCCTCGCGTTCCCCTGCTCATCGTCCTCGTTCACCTTTCCTCCCCCTCATCCTGCCACTTCTCGTCCTCTTCCCCCTCCTCCTGCCCGTTCTCCTCCACCTCCCCCATCCTTCCTCCTTCCTCCTCCTCCTCCTCTTCCTCCTCCTCCCTCCTTCTCCTCCTCCTCCTCCTCCTCCTTGTCACTTGTCCTCCCTGTTCCTCGTTCCCCTCCTCCTCCTCCTCCTCCTCCTCCTCCTCCCTCCATCTGGCTGGGTCTGCAAGCGACCTCGCGTGCTGCACAACCGCGGCGGAAGTTCTCCTTGTGGAACTTATTGTGCAATTCCGAGTTTCCGAATCCCCCTGGGGCTCCCTCCCCTACACCTCTTGCTGTTGCTGCTGCTTGTCGTCCTCAGCCTTCACCCTCATCCTCCGATCCTCGCCCTCGATCTTCCCCTCCACTCGCACCTTCCGCTTCTCACTCCCCCTCCTCTGCCTTTCCTCCCTCATCCCCGCCCACGGCCTCGTCCTCCTGCGGACACGGGGCCAGCTCCGGGGCCGTCTTGGGCCTCTTTTGGGCTGCACTGGGTTTCATAGGCTTCCCCAATGCCGTCTCGGCGCGGTCCTGGGGGGCCTTTTGGACCATTTTGGAGGCTGCGAAGCCCGACCAGGCGAGCACACCACAAACTTTCAAACCCATGAATCAATGTGTTCGGCCACTTAGTTGCGCTTTCGCCATCCTCTGGGGGCCCCTGGGCCGCGTCGGGGTTCTCTGGGCAATCTTGGCGCTATGTATGGCCGTCATTGTTCTGCCTTGGCCGTAGTGGGGGTCTCTTGGGGCATCAATTGGGCCCTGTGGTGTCCATCTCGGGCATTCGCGGGCCACTGAGAGGCTATCTCGGGTTGTCTTGGGGACTGAACAGGGGGTGAAAGCGCGAGGGAAGCGTCGGCACTTCTACAAGCAGGTCCACGTATAAGTTCACATGATTAGGCAACACAGGGCAGGCATGGATCACGGCTTGCCCCACGTAATCACCTCGTCGCCCTCTTAGTCCTTCTTCTTCTGCTCCTCCTCCTCCTCCTCCTCCCTCCCTCCCCCCCCTCCTGCTCGCCAACTGGTCCACCAGCTGATCGGG